AGGTTAAACAACAAAATGTAAGTCTTTTTCAGATGTCAACAAAAACATGCATGCATGCCCACACACACACACACACACACACACACACACACACACACGTCAATCAGTACTTCTGAAGACCCTTCATCTTCATTACGGCCTTAATAAAATGTAATTATTTTATTTTTTTTTAAATCAGGGATCAGCTTCTTCTACTTTAAAACAATTATTAAGGAATCACATAGTAACAGAGGAACAATGCCATTAACCCGGTTCTCATCTCAATCGGTGCTTAAAGAATAATTTGATAGATCATCATTAAGGAGAAAAAAATGGAGAAAACCCAACATGCATTTAGCTCACAGAGAAATCTTACTTGTACACACTAGGGTCCCAGGAGGGATGAAGAGGGGTCACAACAGGGGCAAGAGAACAGGGAGAATAAATGTGGCAACATGGAACAGGAAATGCCAGTTAACATTTGCTTGGCTGTCCTATCAAGATTAGACAATTAAAACAAATAATAAATAAAAGTATAAAAATTAGAGCAGCACCAGTCAACTGCATACAGGATGGTAAAACCAGTAACTTTTTTTATTAACTCGTAATTGAGAGGGGAAAAAAAAAAACAGAACACCACAGAACATTTTTCGTAAAGTCACAAGATGATCATCATGGTACGATTATGAACAGCCTATGAGACTTCAGGGGGAATTTTTTGTCTCATTTCTAACTTCTTTCAGTGCAGATGTGGAGGATGTATTTATTATTTAGAGGGAAAAAATACACCAAATCGGGATTTTTTTCTCTGAACGTACAATACAACATAAGCACCAAAAGAGGATCGTTGAAGTAGTCTTAACTTTTCAGTTTTTATAAAGTTAGTAACAGTGGCTAAACATTTAGAAGTTGTGATTCATGATTTAAAAAAAAAATAACTGGATAGCGGAGTGCAATCTCACACAAACTAGCAAACTAGTTGCTAGCAACTTAATTATTTAATTTCAGTTGAAAAATCAAGTAATTGTTAATAGATATGTCGTGTCAATGACCCAGATAACAATGAAGGAATCAACTGTCCGTTAGAGGAGGGCTAAACGTTAGTTAGCTTATTAGCGTTAGCAGCAGGCTAATCAGTGATACGTCCATACATTAGCACAGAAAGACCACCTACCGATTCAAACTGAGCCTGGTCGTCCTCTGGAAGGTCGCCAGTCTCGTACACGTCTGGTTCGTTAAATGCCTACGGAAACAAAATGTGATAAATGCTGTTACTTCGTTGGTTTGTTTGGTATTAGCCTGGCCAACGCCCCGGCTTCACTGAGAAACACTAAAATGATAAGTCTAGCGCTTTTGTATGTTTGCATCATATGGCATTATCTTAGCTGCATGTCTGCTATTGAGACGCAACACTATCTGGAGCTCAATGTGGATTGTTTGCAGACAAGAAGATAAAAGATTCAGCAGCAGAGCCGTTAGCTAGCAGTTCCACCTTTCAGTCTGAAGATGTGTTAGCGTTAGCAACTTACAATTCCTGGTAAGTTTGCGTATTTAGGATCAGCCATTGTCAACAGGAACAACAAAAACACAACAAAATGCAATAGCGGTCTCTAAAACCGTTCAGGTAATCGATTCGCTGAGTGGGATTATATTAAAAGCTAGCAATGGATGAGCCAGCAGTATGTCAGCCGGCGGAGCGGTGCAAGCTGATGTGGTCACTTGCTTGATTTGGCACCATGTCTGCTCGATTTATTTCACTCAGTCTCACACGGGCGGTGCAGTTAACGCTATGTCAATGGGAAAGCGGTAAGCGTCTTATTAAAAACAGTAAAACAAGCACACCTAAAGCCGTGATGCGTCATTCCACGTACATTTCGCCAGCCAATATGTTTTTAAGGATACTTTTTCCTCGTAGTCAGTTTTCTTAAAATTTATCAATAAAAGGCATATTTATTTATTAGGGTTATGAAATTGAACTGTTGGTGTATGGCATCAACTAAATTATTTACGTTTATTCACTTAGTGAATATTACTTGACTTAAGACAGACCTATTTATGAGACACATGAGGGCGCCAAAAGAGTGAAAGAAAAAAGTAAAACTAGTGAATACATTGATAGTGAAAATAGTTTACTCTCCAAAACATATTCTTGTTATTAACTTCACAGTGTTGTGGAGCTCTTGTATAACTTTTATGAATGTATTCATGTATTTTTTTTTCTAGATTGAAATTGTTTTTTTTATGTTTGCAGTATAAACAATAAATTTTGGAACATAATGTTTCTATGTGTGATAAAACCTAAGCACATTATTTTCAATACTCTTTAAATTAACTTATGTAAACACACAAAACCCCATTTGCCACTGTTATAATTCAGTTATAAGGTATTTTTTTCAGACATGTTTATATGAAATGTGTCATCGATTTACTTAATGCTAATATATACAAGATCTGAATATAAAACATTAAGACAAAACAAGAGGACAAACATCATGAAAGAAAAAGAGGGGGCCTATTTCTATATAATTCTAAAAATTGTCTTCTATTTAAATTGAGACATTTATAAATGGGGTTGTGTATAGATAAACTGTTTCTTTTCACTGCTCTTTTTCTTAATTAATAAATTATACATATTCATAATTCAGTTTGTTGCTCCTCAACTTGAATTGCTCGAGTTTTTATTTATTTATTTATTTATTTTTTTCCAGTGGATTAGGAACATTAGGAACACCAGATACAGACCAGCTGGTGAGACTGGGGATATCCAGCTCCAGTATAATCTGAACAGGTGTTCTCCAGGGCTGTGTGCTTTCTCCACTATTCTTATCCCACAACACTGATGACTGCATCTTTCCACATGACTCTCCAGAGCTTCATCAGTTTGCAGATGACATGAATATGCTACCAGCCTGACATTTAATGGAGATGAATTTGCATCCAGGACAGCTGGCCAAACGGTATGTTGATAACAGCTTGTAGCTTAACACCAAAAACACAGTGACTGAACTTTAGGGGATTCTCAGTTGTGTACTTATTTTGAACAGCACTTTGGATATTAGGGAATCCATAAAAGTTTACGGCCACAATCACCATGTATGAAGCGGACAACTCACATAAATTCACTGTTCTTCGTATACCAATTGTGGATGTTTAACCTGTTTAAGAAGATTCTGAGTCAGTTCTTTTCAACAGTCATTGTGACTGTACATTTGTATAACTGTCTGGTTTGCTTTGGCTACTATATCTGACAAAGTGCAATAATGAACACACTGGACTCCTGAAAACTGCCCCCATTTATCCCCATTCATTATTTTTTGCAGACAAGGAAAAGAGCAAGAAAATAATTCATCCTTGACCCCCTTAAACCCAGGAGACGGACTATTTGAGCTGCAACTTTCTTGGAAGACTTTAGACAGCTGAACTGAAAAATAAAGGGCAAAAATCAACTTCACAAACAATTAAATGATGCAAATCACATAAACGTGTACCACATAATGTGTATTTTGTTGTCCAGTAAGGATATTGTTTCATTGGGTATATTTTATTTCCAGTACTTTTTAATATCTGTGCAACTGAATACAAAGACCCAGATATTCACACACACTGTGTAAAGAACATAATCTTTTATTCCTCATGCACTGTCTGATAATGTCTCAGACCAACCTTTTGCTATCTTGGGTCAGTTAGCTTTAACAAAATGCCAGAATAATGAAAAAGAATTATTACTGAGAATATGGGAATATGTGTGACTTATTTTTTATTTTGTAAGCATTGTGTTAAAACCGTATGACTAGGACCAAATGTCCTTCTAAAAACCTTTCACATTAGGTTGCTGGAATTGCAGTACATCCCTTTTGGCAGAAATTTTATAACTTATTCAGGTTTAGGATAATCAACCATTAACTTTTGAGTTGTTGTCTTAAGATATGGCTTCAGTATTTCCTCATAAAGTTATTTTCTGTATTATGTGAAGTGGACCAGTTTGTCATGCAAAAACACCTTCACAACATGATATTGGATATTGCCACCCCAAATATTTGTTCCCTTCCCCTGCTTTTTCTCCTCCTAATTATTTAATGGGCATAATGACAGAAAACTTAAAAATTTGCTTAATCACAGCAAAAGGCATTTCTCCAGAAATGAAGGCATGTGTTCCTGTGTGCATTTGAAAAGTTATAATCTGTTTCACTTGCTGTTTTTACAGTAATAGCTTCTTCCTCTGTGAGTCGCCTTTCACCCCATGTTGACACCAAAGTCTTTTCACTGTGAATAATGACACTGTCTCACCAGGACTGAGAGATGGATGGAGAGATGAATGGATGGGTCGATGGATCTCACACTAGGAAGCAGCATGTTTGAAGTGTTGCTTTAATATACATCCACACATGTGCCTCAGTTTATTTTGATGGTTGACAATTAACCAATAAAGCTAAAAAAGTCATGGCATTTTGGCTTTTCACAAATTGTTTAAACTACACAATCTTAGTGTAGGTTCAGTCTTTTTGAAGACTACATATATCTAACTTCGATCGCATCATACTTCGTTTATTAATGAAACCTATCTGGTCAAAATCTGAGAACAAAAATGCAATCAAACAAATGCATTCCCTATTTACATTAATGTTGTTCGGTTGTGGAAATTCTACGTATAGTAAATAAAAAACATCATAATACAAGTAGCACAATGCTTTATACTAATATATTTAAAAACATTGGCATATCTATGATTTTGGCCCACATTGCTAAGATTACCAAGAAGGATCTTAAAAGAAAATATAGATCCATACCCCTTCGCTGGTAGAAAATTTGTGCAAATAAATTCCTTTTTGGTAAAACATTTGAGCAGCACTCAGACTACTACACTGTTTGAATGTAGCATAAGTACGCAAACTTTTTCCTTTTGCATGAGACAGTTGGGAGTTAGCAAGAAGAATGGAGCCGCTGTGTGCTCCTCCGCTCGGCTCAGTGATGCTGATGAGGGAGGATGTGAGTCGCTACTCCACCACGCCCCGCCCCCATTGAGAAGGCAGTGATGCAAGCCATGCCTCTGAGAAGCCTGCAACCCGTCCAGACATACAGGATCACTTTGGACTACACTCCTCATTTATTGGTCCCCCATATGTTCTCCGCCGCTTAGCTGCACGGATTAGTTTGACGGGGTTTTAAAGCTGAAAATTACTCCCAAACAGCTTGCTTTATGCTTTTTGTTTCTTACTTATTTAATCGTTTCTGGATCTAAAAAAAAGTCGTAGTTCTGTATTCCCTCCAAATGCTTCTTCGCATATCAGACTCGCTTTGCATGTGGACATAAGCCAGTGGGTTCAGTCAGGTGCTTCAACACAGAGGATCTTATTTAGGATAATTTTTAAAATTCCTTTCCTTGTCCTGGAGGCGCGTCCTTTATTTTTCCCATCCACGATGGCTGATTCCAACGCTGAATGCAATATCAAGGTGTTGTGTCGATTCCGCCCGCTGAACCAGTCCGAAATTATCCGCGGAGATAAGTTCATCCCAATATTTCAAGGCGAAGACACTGTCATCTTTGGGGTAAGTTGCTTATCTCCTTCTCTGTTGGCACCGTTGCATGCACTCCAGTGATGTTGGGGGTTAAACTTATCATCTCACAATCATATCCGATCCTGACCAGACTTGGAGCTTAAAGGCATGAGGCAGGGATCAAACTAAGTATAGCCTCCATCAATACTATTGGTAATATTATTAGTATTCTGCAGCAGAATGTGCTGCCTCTATTTGAGGGCGATACAGCTAAAAAAAAAAAAAAAAAAAGAAAAAACTGCATTTGTGCATTTTTTGTAGTATATCTACTGCTTTGAAATAATACATCACTTGTCTATGTTAAAGATGCTTTTTGTGTCTAAAGGTTTTAACTTTTGTGATTAAAAACTGAAAAATATCTTCATTAACTCTTAAAATATTACCCCACCTTTTTGTTTCAACTTAGGCTTGTTTGCTCGATATTGATCTGGTGGATTTTCTTGTCACCCCCAGATGTGGTCTTCATATTAAAGCCTCCTGAGGAAGCCCCTATATATATATATATATATATATATATATATATATATATATATATATATATATATATATATATATATATATATATATATATATATATATAAGCATTAAAAAAGAAAAACAAAACAAAACTAAGCAGATACTAATCGATCTGGATCAATCCTGGTCCTCAGGGACCACTGCCCTGCATGCTTTTGGATTCTGCAGCACTTGATGGCATGCAGAGGAGGTCATGTAATCATTAGAATCAGGTGTTCTGGAACAAAGACACATCTAAAACATGCAGGGCAGTGGTCCCTGAGGACCGGCATTGAGAAACACTGAATGAATAGATTGATTTTCAGGGTCCATAATCATTGTAATGTAATTCAGTCCTTGTTTGACCAGTCTGCGCATCGTGCTCTCTGTGCTTGTCTGTGATGCTTTAGTGATCTTAATGCCAAGAAAATATTCTGAATTATGTTTTCTTCTTTTCAAAAATGAAATAGATCATAAATCTCATTAAAAAAAAAAAACAATCTCTGGTTGGTGTATAACAATCAAGATCAGATCTAATCAGTCTAAACATGAAGAAATACAGTGTAGACTCTTTAAAATACTCAAAAATAATAATTCAATTTAGCAGAGAATCATTAGTTGGTCACAGGCATCATTAGCCACCTGTTGGGTTTGACAATATTTTGTGCACATTGTGCACACCGAGGGGGAGGACCCACTCCTATTGACTGAACATGCACATAAGCAACAGAAACCTCGTTTGTTCAGGGCACCACTGATAAATATCTGTATTTTATCTCAGACAGAAAAAAAAATATTGCTCATGTCAAACTCCACCGCTTGTGCCCTTTCTTGGATAATTAATCAGAAAGGTATTGATTCCTTTGGTGATGAACATTACCAGCTGCCTGCTGATGACGTTTAGGTGAGATGCTGATGGCTTTGCTTTTGGAGCAACTCAAATTGAAGATGGTGGTTACTATCAGTGATTATGTGCTGTAATGGAAGTGAACCAATCCCTAATAGGTTTATTAATGTACATCTTAGGCTAAGGTCAACAATGTGATCATAATCCCACACCAGGTGACATTTAGAAAAAAAATAATTGAAACATGGACAAATATGAGAATCCTCTAAATGGATCGGAGACTAATATTTAAGCACATAGTGCGGAAATAGATGCATTTGTCAGAGTGCAGAAATAGACATGTGTAGATATGGCCAAATATGCAAATCTATGAATTAATTTCACACTGAATGCAGAGCACCTGCTCTCTACTACAGTGGACACACAAACACACATGCAGAGAGGAAGATTATGAAAGAAAACTGAACCCTTCAAGCCTGAGGGGTTGACTTGTAGTGATGACTGGGGCAGCAGAAAATCCCTATCGGCTCACTCTTGTTTTCATGCACACATCTATACCAACACACACTGAAATGTACTGCAGGTTTGTGGGGGAAATGGTCCTGCATGACTGACTATTTTGGTTGTAGCTACAGAATGTTTCCAGCAGACTGAACTATTTCTCTGTTTATGCATAAAAAAATAATATTATTAAGAAGATTAATATTTCAAAATCAAGAATCCCCACATCAGTCTTGACACCTGAGTTTGAACAGCTCTGAAGATGTTAGAGAGAAGCAGTGTCTTGTGAAATATGGAAAAGATATGTCATCACATTAAAGACATATTTCAGAGAATAAGATAAAAAAAAGTTTATGGAAATTAGTCAGACTATGTACACCTCTACTTGCGCCCTGACCTACTGAGTTTGACGTTGTCAAACTCAATCACTTTATTCTTTAAAGAATTTCTTTATGAGAATAAAGAATATTAGCCAGTCAACAGCGAGCTGTCACTAAAACAAATCTGCTTTTGTTCTCTGTCAGTAAGTTTGACAGCAGAAGACTCCAAAACAATAAAAAATAATATCCTCCAGAAACACAAGCAGACATTTCTGATGCTAAGTCATTTCATCTTCTAACCGGCACTCGGTTTTCCTCCGTTCAGACGAATGTAATCAGCAACGCAAGTGGAGTTTTCATCTTTCTGAATGCAATTACTTCCAAGATGTGCTCTGTATATAGGAGGATATAGACATGTAAATCCATTCGGGGCTTGCATTTTCCTATTTGGAGTGTTTGTCTTGTACAAGGAAGTTGTGAATGAATATGTCAAGTTTGATGAGTATTTATAACACCAAGCCAACAGGAAACAAGTTAATGCAAACATTGTGAAGGTTGATGAAAACAGATCAGTTCTGGGCGGTCCTAATGGCCCACATTGGTTGAAGATGTTTTCTTTCAGAACTTGATAGTGTACAGAGGCAGCGACCTGAGCTTGTGATTGATGGGTTGACTACTCTCTAGCGGCAGGCTGGAGAAAACTTTAAGATATTAAAAATGATAGAAAATAGTCTGCTGTTGAACTTTGACTTCTTTGAAGCATCACCGTGCATAGAGTGTATCGTAAATACAAAGTGAAAGCAAATGGCTGCATTTGATTTTTGTGACAGGAAATAGTAATTAAATTAGGCAATAGAAAAGCAGCCCTCTTTTAGGTTGACTGTGTGCAGCAACAAGTGGGGCAAGGGAACTTTCTACAGCAATCAGGGAGAAAAACAAATCTTAGTTCAGTACTTTCTTATTAAAGTACTTATACTGTCAGAATGGTATGAGAATTTTTTTATTATTATTTTTTTTTACCTTTTTGAAACCTTGGTACAGCAAACTCTTGCCTATTCATGGCTCAATATTTGCAGATTTTATTGTGGACTGTAACTCAAAATTATTGAAGGAAAATTCACCTATTTGAAGGTAAATCCTGCTTTGGAAGCTGAAATACAACGGTGCAATTGTACTTGACATGCTATTGGCTGGTGTTTGTAAAGCAGTCAACCCAGGGGTGACATTTATTTTCCTTGAAGCTGACTGGCTGTAACCTCAAGACCTGAGATAGATATACAAGTGACAATACAGTTTCTATTGGGCATGCTATTACATATTAAGGTGGTAAAATTGGTTATTATGTCATGTAATATCTTGTATAAGTGAAGGAAGACACAGAGTATGTACTTTATACCTTATTTGCACCAAGACACATTATCCCCCGCTCACCTGAGATAAGCAGTTGTTTTGGAAGTTTTCCTGCTGTTTGCTGCACTGAACTGTGCAGATTTTTTTTACTACTCTTGCTATTGTCCTCTCTGTGCATGGAAGCAAGATAAACTGGGTCCTTGTCAGTTCTTTTTTGTCACAGTTCCAGTTGTTGGATTTTTTATATTGCTCTGACTGCATGGGTGAGCTAGTGAGAAGCCAGTTTCTTGTTACCACTTGAAGATTTATGAAGAGTACAACAAATATGACATTTCTCCATGGGATGGTCTCTCATCTTTCTTATTTTGAAGAGCGATTAAGCAACATTTCTCAGTGTGACATCATAGTTACACCCTAAGGAACCAGGAAAAGCAACAGATTCTAATTTAAGCTTCTTAAAAGATGAACAGTGAAATATTTCTTTTAAATACTGTGTGGAGAATAACATTTTCCACACTTAATTACTTAAACTGAAAACCAAACAACATGACAAGTACATGCTATAAATTCAAAAAGGAAGGGGTAGGGCTAATAAATTATTTGCAGCATGTTGCAATTGCAGTTTTGTTGCCAGTCAATAAAGACTTTCAGAGACGTGTGATCTGCGAGTGATGATTATATTGAATATTATATTTAAGCTCAGAAAAAAACTCACACTTCATCACAAATTTTATTGATGTCTATGTTTTGCCTCAAATTCTACAAACCAAATTTTACGTAAACTTAATTATGCAAGTTTGTGCTGCAACTTTCAGGACATATAAAACAAATTGTTTAATCCATTCATGATTTTGTGGACTTTTTATCAGAATTCTGAGTCTAAAGATGTTCATAATATATTTGTATACAAAACTGGTTCTCAGGGAAAACTGTGGAAAACTGATTCTTTTAAAAAGAGTGTTACTAAATCCAGAAATTGAAGTGAAAAAATCATTTTCACTTTATATCAAGCTGTGTTTAACATAAAACTTGGAATGTAACCTTAATGGTAGCAGATTATGTTAACATGTCCTGAAATGAAATTCTGTTTTAGGAAAACTGGAGAATAAATGAAATAAAAGAATGACGAAAATTAGGATTTCTTCTGCTAAGTTTAAATCCTGTTTCATTTAGCGCAGTACTTAAGAGGATCCGTTGAAGCACATAGTGTTCAAACTCCTATTTTCATTTGTGAAGCTTTTTTGTGACGTACGTTACATAATCCTGCCGAGGTTCTAACTGATTTTATGGTTTGAGCCTATTTGCACCCAGCAGACGTGAAGTAACATTAGCATTCAGTGTGATATTCTGTAGATCTGAACACCTGATGGGTTTACAGCAGCTCCTCTGCTCTTTCTTTAGCGTTTGTCTTAGTGAGCATCTGTGTCTTTTTGCCGTTTGTTGATGGGTAGAATAAATGTCATGTTCAGGACTTTATG